AAAGACAAGTCCATGTGAAATATGAAAACATTGGTGAATAAGCTTTACATTAACTCTCTTCACAACTTCATATGATTCCTGAAGTGCTCATATAACCAACACCATCTCTCGAAGTGCTGCAAAGCATGCAGGTTGTGCAACCTCAATGTTCACAGAACTCTCACCCTAAGGCAATTGAAATGCCCTTTATGATAATAAATAATTAGCTGTTCCTCCACTCTCCTGGTCATCCACCATTTAGAACCACTGGGTGCCCTCTTTCCTTTCCCTTGATCACCGAACCAAAGAAAAACAGTCCCTTTAAGGGTTGGCTTGGGGTCAAAACTCCTGTGACATGTTGCAGCTCTAGGTTCCTCTCTCTCTCTCTCTCTCTCTCTCTCTCTGTTTTTGTTGTGGGAACACAAATTTTGATGCTAGCAGCAGCTCTATACATTATTATTTATTATCACATTGAGGTAGCGCAGGAGTTTATTCTTTAATATGTGTGTTGTTCTATACAGATATTCCCTAACTTCTGTTACTTGGTCACAAACAAGCAGAATTTTTGGGAGTGTGCTCTGTGCAGTATGAAACAAACATGAATATTTCAACTGTGATGCTGCGCTTCTGTTCTCAGACTTTACTCATTTGAACTCAAATGTGTGAACCTCATGTCTCTTCCCACTCTCTTTTGCTTTGGTTAAGTGAAAGTGGCTTTTTCCCCATTTGAGTGATTTATGTACATCTTTTTCATTTTAAATCTGTTTGTTTAACCACTTGCCTACCAGGCACTTATACCCCCTTATTTACCAGGCCAATTTTCAGCTTTCAGCGCTGCCGCACTTTGATTGACAATTGCGCGGTCATGCAACATTGTACCCATATGAAATTTTGATCATTTTTTTCTCACAAATAGAGCTTTCTTTTGGTGGTATTTAATCGCCACTAGGCGCTTTACTTTTTGCGCTATAAATAAAAAAATGCAAAAAATTTGAAAAAAGAAAAAAGTTTCTTTGTTTCTATTATAAAATTTTTCAAACAGGTATTTTTTCTCCTTCACTGATGTGCGTTGATGAGGCAGCACTGATGGGCACTGATAGGCGGCACTGATAGGCAGCACTAAAGGACACTGATAGGCAGCACTAATGAGGTGGCACGGATAGGCGGCACTGATAGACAGCACTAATGATAGGCGACACACTGATAGGTGATAGGTGACACTGATGATGGGTACTGATAGACGGCACTGACTGGCATCACTGCTGGGCACTGACTGGCGGCACTGACTGGCACAACCCCTGGGCACTGACTGGTGGCACTGACTGGCAGCACTGCTGGGCTGCACTGGTGGGTGGGCACAGGTGGGTGGCACTGCTGGGCACAAGTAGGTGGCACTTCTGGGCACAGGTGTGTGACACTGCAGAGTGGCACAGGTGGGTGCACTGCTGGGCACAGCTGGGTGCACTGCTGGGCATAGGTGGGTGCACTGCTGGGCACAGGTGGGCGGAGCTAGTGGGCGCACTGCTGGGCACAGGTGGGTGGGAACTTGCGGGTGGCACTGCTGGGCACTGATCATCAGGGCACTGATCATCAGTGCCGATCCCCGCTCTGACAACTGCCATTTCTCGGCAGTACTTTCCTCACGATCTGACAGCGTGAGGAAAGTGCAGCCGAGAACCGGCACTTGCATTTCCCTCTGATCAGCGTGTCATTGGACACCGCTGATCACGTGGTAAAAGGCCGCTGTGATTGGCCTTTTACCACATCACGTGATCAGCTGTGTCCGTAGGACACATCGATCATGGAGATCGCCGGGTGCGCTCCCCCTGGGGCGCGCAGGAGAGCGCGTTCTGGGAGGACGTCATATGACGTCCACTCAGAACTGGCCGGCCGCAGTGCAGCCGTCATTCGGCTATCTGCGGTCGGCTACTAGTTAAACACACAGTTAACTATGCTCTGGTAAATTGTAAGTAGCCATAGAAACAATGTGTATTTGAGCAAGGAAATATATATAAAGTGTCACAAAATAATTATCCAGTAGAATCTGCATGATAGAAGAAGGGAAAGCTCACCATGTAGCAAAATGGCTTACTGTGAAATTTAACATTTTATCACATTGCCCCATTATGTTTCATTACCAGCATTCTGATCCTCTTTGCTTCACATCATTTTTTTTTTTCCAAAATGATATGAAAAGAACTTTCAGCAAATGATGCACCCCCACTGAAGATGCTTGAGCCTCTATGAATTGATTTAGGTTATAAAAAGTCATATTGTGTATCCCAAAAAAATGGCCAAATTTATTTATGGCAGTCAGATACATACCTGGATCAGCACTGTATTTTGATTGTAAATTTTTTTTTTTTTTTTTAGGATACTATACTTGTGTTCCAGAATCTGTGGAAAAGTATTTTTAAAGTATTTAATTTCCCGCAGCTAAATACTAACCTTCCTTTTTAACTCCAGGGTAAAAGAGGAGCTTCTGGTCCCCCCCCCCCCCAAAAAAAAAACCCCAAAAAACATACTGTAGCTGCTGACTTTCAATAAAAAGGACACTTACCTGTCCAGGGATCCAGAAACATCCTCACCTGGGAAGATTCTTGATTGGTCTTGTGGTCCCCAACTCCGGCATTTTTACTAAGGGAGTTTAACTGTGACTCCTTGCGGCTTAACAGCCAGCTTCCCACTATGCGTGTGCAAGCCGTGCTGTGCTTTGTGAATGGTTTAGAAACTTGCTGCAATCTGTGATGTGTCCCAGAAGCCTCAGGCAATGGGGGGATGAACTGCTGCTCGATCTGAGCGAAACTGGGAGCGGGTACCTACCAAAACTAGGTACCAGATTCCCCCCCCCAAAAAAAAGGAGGAGGAGGTGAAAAAAAGCGGAAGTTCTCCTTTTAAGTGAATTTCCACTTTAACCTATAGTGGAACCCCAATCTATGCTTAAAAGGTAAACTATAGTGCATTTTCACATGAGCACACATTTTGTATGGCATGTGTTTTTTTTTTTTCTCAAGATATGTTGAATGCTGCATTTTCCTGATGCTTCATGTGGCATAGCATTCCTTATTATTTTTGCCTGTGTTGGTGATTTTCCCTCACTATTTGTCTGGTGATACCTTGGTCACCAAGACAGACAGCAAGGGAAAAGCTCTAACAGAGACCTGGACAGCACTAAAAAGCCAACAGGGGGTTTTAATCCTTTCTAATTCTATCCAAAACTTAAAAAAATATTTTGACTGGACATTCTCTTAAAGAAATATTAAACCCAATTCCACAATTCTAACATATTGCAATTTACTAATCCAGTGTGGTGGCTGCATTAGTTGTTTTTATTAGGCCTTTTCCCTTTCTTTTTTCACCTGTTGATCCAGCCAGTAACACACTTCCTGTCTTAGGGTGCCTACTCTCTGGGTAAAGGAGCTACTGAGACATCTTTGGAGAGCAGCATGGTTAATCTGGGGGGAGGAGAAAGTTAGATTCATTTTCAGATTTAGATAAACTAACACATTAAAACCAAACTCCAGCTTGCACTTTTAAGTAGTTACAGCAACAGTTTTTTCCTTTTTGGTTAAAGTTTTTTCATAAATAAAAGCTGACCATTATACGAACCCCTGCCAGTGATAAATGGTTTGCCTCAACCATCTTGTTCTGTTGAAAAACAGTAAACTTACTGACAGGATCACCAGGTGAAAATAAAAGAAAGAAAGCCTAAAATGAAAATAAATGCAGCCATCACATCTAGGACTTGGTATGCTGCAATATATTAAACGTTTAATATAACTTTAATGTTTATGAATTATAAGCACACCCAAATCCTTGTACTGAATTATTTGACACAATTTTGTCCTCATACTGTTTGGTGCATGAATGATTTAACTCCCAGGTGAACACTTTCTACATTTATACTGCTATAACTCTCATTTTGTCATGGAATTGGCAAATCACCCAGAGTGTCTAATATACAGTATATTCATGATAATAAACAGGATGAAACATTTTTTATAAAGCTGTACAATAGGATATTGGTTTATTGCCATGAACAAAACTGCCATTCAATTTAAAAAAATTTCTTTGACTATCATAAATAAGTGATAACACAAAGTTCAGTGGACTACATCAAACAAAACTTTATGAAATGTAGTGTTTTACAATTAGAAATGCTGTTAAAAAAGAAAAATTGAATCAAGTGCACAAACTCTGAAAAGGATGGTTATTATTATTATTTTTTTTTATTTGTTTAGTTCAGATGCCTTCTAAAGCCTTGTACACAGGGCTGGTATGAGAGCAGTTTGTACTACTTTTACAAAGCATATGTGCAGCTTTTAGCAAGCTTCAAGCTTTAAAGCACCCTTCAGTTCCAGTTTTGGGATGTGAAACACAGATAATATTGCATGTGCAATACTGCAAAACAAGCTGCTAGCAGACTTTTAACAAGTATCAAGTAGTGCTAAAACCTGGTGCTTTTTAATGTGCCAGTAAGCACTCTCTTTATCAGTTATCCTCCCATATTACAAGCTCATAATTGTAGCCAAAGGATGTAGCACAGCTGAACCTCAACCATGCACTCAGAAGGCCCTGTCTTTAACCTGGCTTCTGCAGTGGAGTTAGGACTACATTTAGGACATTCCATATCCAGCATATGATAGGACTGATGCGAGCAGCAATTTGCACTAGAAGTGCTGAGATGAGATATAGTGATGAATGGCTGTGTGAACAAAGTCCTTCTTTGTAAGCTTTCTATCCAAAGTTGCTGGGAAGCAGAGAGAATGTTTTAGCATGTGTGTGCTTTAAAGATTCTCATGAGTCTTTGAATAAAATTCTCTTTCTTTATCCACAATTTGACAAATATTTTCACTATGGGCATGTTATTTAATAGTTTCTATTTAATCAGGGAACTTTACTTTAATTCAGTGTGAACAGTTCTAGGTAATTTGATGTGTGGTATAAGCAAACTATTTTCTCTAATTAAGGTATATCAATTCACTATGTAGTTATAGAGTACTATTTTATTTATATTGCAGATTAGCGGGGAAGAGAAAAAGCAGCATCAAGATGATCTGATAAGTTCCACTTATGGATTAAGCTCAACTAAACTAGAAGAGTTTGAGTTTTACAAGGTAGGTAATTGTGTACACTCATAGTTTAAAAAAAAATGCAGGACAAGTAAATACCAAATAAAAACATTTTAACTTCCTTACATCTGGCTTTTGTTCCTAAATGGCACTAGGGTGAATAGGTCCTGCGTGATCTACGTGGGTGTTCTGTATGCACATTCACAAAGACCCTCCTTCCACGGTTGTTATTTTTTAAACACATCAATATTAGCATGTTCCTTAATTTCCAAAAAAGTGGAACAAAAAAATATCACCACGGGGTACCCTCTTTCCAAATAATGCTCATGTTTAGGGGATTTTATACTATTCTGGCATTTTTATATGATATGTATTATACTAAAAACTGGTCTTCCTTTTAATTGCAGTGTTTTTTTTTTCTTTTATATAGTAAAAAATAAAAAAAAACTCCAGTGGTTATTAAATACCACCAAAAAAAGCTGTATCAAAAAAATTATTAAAAAGTTAACTTAGGTAGAGGGTTGCTTGACAGAGTAATTGTCAGTGAAACTTTCCCACCACTGAAAAAAAAAAAAAATGGCCAGGACAGTAGTTATAACATGCCGTTGGCTCATCTCACTGTTGAACATAGATCTAAAGTTATTCACAAAAATCCTACCTGCCTGTTTACTACCGCACTTTGCTGAGATCATTTATTTATACCATGTTGACTTCATCCTAGCTGCAATAATGTCATCAAAGCCACCCCCAACTTGATCCTAATCTTTCTCTACCCCCTGCTTTTTGCTAGTGACTGACACCAAGAGGATCAGGTCAATTGGCAATTCATATTCTTGGTCCTAAAACGCATAGGCCTTGGGAACATAAGATTTAGCGTGATTTATTCGGTCCCTTCTGGTGATCCAATTTTCTTTCTCTTCCCTATTTTTAATGGTACACCCCAAGACCATCCATATCACTCTTCCTTTTTGTGCTCTCCTTGGAAATCTTTCTGTGCAAAATACTGGTAATCTCAGCATCCTGAGACTTCAGATAGGAGGTGTACAACTTAGATTATCTGCCCACGCAGATAATCTCCTCTTCTCCCTCACCAACCTTTGCTGCTCTTTTCCCAATCTCCTACAAGATTTTGAAAACATATAGAAAGTACTCTCACCTGAAAGTCACTTTTATGAAATCTGAAAACCTGGTCATGGTGATTCCAATCTACCAAATTAAGAATTAATGAACAATTTTCACATTTAAAAGAGCCATTAACAATCAGTATGTAGGTACTCTGATCCCGAGAAGTCTAAAGGAAACGTGAGCCCTGAACTTCCCTCCTCCTCTTTTAAAAAAAAAGCAAACAATTAGAATACTACAACATAAATGTGTTACTGCAGTAGTTAAATCAAGAAAAATATCAAAATGTCTATTCTAGCCAAATTAATCTACCTACTTCCCTGTCTACTAGTTCACATCCCTTCATCATACTTTACACAGGTTAATGCTCTGTTTACTGACTTTGTATTGGCTCATGCCTAAGGTTCAAACAACTTATTTACTGAAAATCCATAGAGGCCTAGCTTACCTTGAAATATCTGATTAATATTAGGCCTGCCACCTGGTCAGATTACTAGATTGATGCAGACATGGTCCCTACAAGCAATTGATATCCATTGTGCAATCCCACCTTGCTTTCCTTTGGGGGATTTTCCATTGTGCGCAACCAAGAATCTCATCTTCTGTAAAGGCCCACCTAGCTAAAGGGTCCCACCATCAAGATCTTTGCCCAGGCTTTCACGCAACATGACCTCTTGCCCACTTATTCTCCATTATAATCCATTCCCATTACACCATTTTGTGGCCTTCTATCCAAACAGATATTAAGCCACTCGTCTTCTCATACTGGCCCTGCATAAGGGGACATGACAGATCCAGAAGCTCCCAGGTGGCTAAACCTTTGGAAGGCCTTGCAACTTGCTCCTTCACACCAAATGTGTTGGGACTACACCTTGTTTCCTGTGGTGCCAGTTCACATCAGACTGTTGCTATGGTGTGTTCATAAAAAAAAATAAGTTTTAAAAATCTTTCTCCCAGCGCTATAATCTATTCTACAGTACTTCGTTCGCTGATGAAGTTTGGACAACTTTGACTCTCTCTCATCTATGCACATCATTTCTACACTATGCAAACTTCTTTTGTGTACGAAATCTAACAGTACATGATTCTTTCAAACTCAGTTGGAGACAGATTATGATGCACAGTATTCTTAGGAAAACTGGTGAAAAGCATTCCCTCTTACTCATTCTCTATCCACTCCCTGTAAGGCATGGACGTGTAATTTTTAAAATCCTAACTCAGTGGTGTTCTTGCTCCTTTATATTTACCAAAACTTTCCCCACCATATCTGACCTCTGCTGGCATAATAGTCATCGAGGTACTTACATTTACAGTATATATAGTGAGTGTGTGTACGTGCGCGTGTACATATATACACATACCTTTTTTGTTTCTTTTAACTATACTTCTGGGTAGAGTAGATAGTCTTAGATATACAAAAGGGGTAATTTGGTAAATCTTTTGCAACACTTTTCTGACCTTATTGCTGTATTAGTACTTGTACTTGTACCAGAGTGATGAGAAGAGAAGAGTATGGAGAAGGAAAAGGAACTGCTCATGATCCTAAGCATACCACCTCATCATGGTGGTGGTAGTGTCATGGCGTGGGCATGTATGGCTGCCAATGGAACTGGTTCTCTTGTATTTATTGATGATGTGACTGCTGACAAAAGCAGCAGGATGAATTCTGAAGTGTTTCAGGCAATATTATGTTAGAATGTTAGAATTGTGTCGATGTCCCAATATTTATGGACCTGACTGTATATTCGGTGGAGATACCTGCCAATCAAACAGCTCTGCGATACAATTTTCAATATCTATAATGAGTGTTTCCTAACAAAGTACCACAACGCTTCACAAATGGCCCTGTTGTCTGATTCCAGGTGCAAAGCGACATGAAGAACACTGTTGTAACATTTTTTTGTGTTGGCTGTCAAATAAATTATACCACAACATTGGAAGTCACAAGTAGTACCTACCGTAGTGGAATGGTTTGAGACCTTGAATGGAATTATGTGGATTGGCCTTGGCTAATTTTCATCAAAACATCTTTAATCATAGATTATTTTACATGAAGGCATTATACACCTTACTTGATGCAGCTTACCTTTTTTGCTCATTGTGTACTTTTGTGCCAGGCCTTCTTTACTGTATCCTTCCTATCTCCCACATTCCTTTTAATTTTTTTTTCCTTATCTTTTCCTTTCCTTGCCCTGCCTCGCCGACTTTCAGTACTCCAAAATTTCGAAGTTTTGAAAACATTTAGAGACAGGCTGGTAAACTGAAGTACTTTTATTCTACAATGCAAAGATTGTGGTATCTTCTTTTTTTTTTTTTTTTAGTTCTTTATATTGAAGAAATAGTATAACAACTTTTACAACAAAATGACATTCTAATGGCACATAGTTAAACTTGGCACAGCAATAGATACCCAGTTATGTTTCCATACAGACAACATGAAGCCCTAAAGTATGCAATATAGTTAGTACGCGTGAAGCTGATCCATTTCAGACACATTTCGTCTTTCATTTTGTATTATTTACCATTGAGAAAAGCAGACAACATTCAACCCCAGTAGGAGTAGTGCAAAGAGGGGGGTGAATAAACACATAGTTTAAGAGAAGAAAAGAGGGAGGAAAGGGGAAAAAAAAAGCAAACAAAAAAACAAAAAAAGGTGGGGGGATCCCACCTATCCTCCTTGCTCTATGCTTGGGTTATCCCACTAGCCTACCAGCCAGTGTGAGGAGTTTTGTGCCTGCCCTATTCAACTCATGATCGGGAGGCCGGCACACGGTTTGATCTTTTTAGAAGAAGTAGGGGGGTGAAGATTTTCCAGTATTTTTCTCCTTGCTCCTTGAACATCATGGTCATGTTTGCCATTCCTTGAATCTCATTGATTTGGGCGAGCCAGTTTGTTTTAGTAGGGGGTAGAAGATTTTTCCACAGTGCAAGGATGCAGGCTTATGCTGCATTGAGAAGAAGTTTTAAGAGGGAGCTCTTGTAACGTTTGTTTGAAAGGGGTGTGTCATGAAGGAGAAAAGCTGCAGGACTTCCTCCAAGGGACATTCCCGTTAATGTTTGTACTGTCTGTTCCACCATGGTCCAGAAGTCTTGTAGCTTGGAACACTCCCAAAAATTGTGGAGTGGAAACCCCACAGAATTCTTGCACCGCCAACATGAATTAGAAGCCTGGGACAACATACAGTGAAGTGCCTCTGGTGTCCTCTACCATCTAGTGAGAAGTTTGTATCCCCCCCCTCCTGGTATCTACTGTCCAAGGAGGCCTTGTGGGCAAAAAATAAGATTGTTTCTTTCTGCTTCTGAGAAAAAGTAACGTTTAGGACCCTTTCCCAACACTGTAAGAATGGGAGCTCTGGTGGAGCCTTGGAAGCTATCAATGAGGCATACAAATGGGAAAGCGAGTGTCGTAGGGGTTCACCAGTCATATATATACTCTCAAACGAGGATGGTTCCCACAAACTGATGAACTCTGTGGGTAAAGAGTGTAAGTATGTCCTCAGTTGTGACCTCCTTAGAAAATCCAAATTCGAGGAAAATATTTGTTCTATCTCCTGGGTCGTCAGATGACGATTCCTACAGAAATGTAATATGCTAAAGAGACCTCTCTTGGAAAATGCTGTGAATTGCGGCTCCTGAAGCCCAGGTAGGAATCCAGCTGCCCCTATTATGGACATCATAGGACTTGGGTGCGGGGAGATATTAGTGGCTCTGAAAGTGGCATTGGACACCTGTAGTATTGCTCCTGTGTGCTGTCTGAATGATATTGACAGTGAGGCCTACGGATGCTAAGGAAGGCCAGCCAAGGGGAGATCGACCGTAGTTTTGGTCCAGGTGTACTCACAGTTTTGCATTGTGTGTAACACACCAGTCAACCACTCTTGCAAGATGTACTGCTTCGTGGTACTTAATGGGGTCCGGGAATCCTGCTCCTCCCCTGGCCTTGGGCAAGGTGAGGATATTCCTCTGGAGTCATGCCGGTTTGCCTGTCCAGACGAATTTCAGAAAAGTAGACCTCAACCCGGGTTAGAAACCATGTGGCAGTTTCATCGGGAGGGCCTGAAGCAAGTAGTTAAGCCTTAGCATGATATTCATATTCAAAATATTTATGCGCCCGAACCAGGTGAAGACCTCTTTGTCCCAGCATAGCAGGTCCGATTTGATTGTCCTAGCTAGGGCGGCAAAGTTTAGTTCAAATGTGCATCGTAGATCCCCAGAAATATTCGTTCCTAGATATCTAATATGAGAAGAAGTCCACTTAAAGTGGAACTGGGATGCAATTTGTTGCTAAGATTGTGGTATCTTCATGTCACAAACGTGCAAATATTTTCTGTCAAATATTCTGTAACTTGTTACTTAGATGAATAATGTAAACCTTGTTCTATACAATTACTATTAATGCTTGTCACCTGTCTCTTTCTATAAATGGTGAAGGTGGACCTTTCAGTCATCCACCCATCCTCCATTCATGTCATTCATAGAAACTGTAGTATAGTGCCTATGAATGGAGGAGGTGGGTGGAAAGAGCAAGTATTGTAGGGCATTTTTGAGGAGCGCCTGTCACAACTCCATTAGCTCTTTTATTTCCTGCTGCACTTCACGATTACAGTGGTGGGGCGAGAGAGGAAGATTTCAACTAAACCAGGAGATAGCACATGGGACACATTGCACTGATAGTAAGTAATGTTTATTATTCATGGAACTTATGCTTTAAAAAAAAAAAAACAATATAAATCATTTACATTCTCCTTTAAACTGTTGTATTGAGAAAAAAAAAAGACCAAAACATATGCAAATTTGACAGTTACATAGCCATCATACATTATAAGTAGGAGCATTATTGCAATACAAAAAAGGTCCCATAAATTGTACAGGAGTTTTAGAGTAATTACCCAGAGAATAAGCAGGGCAATGCCCATGATAATTCTGATACCCATCAAAAATGATCTATATTTAAAGCGGTATTAAACCCAAAAACAAACCCTTATTATATCGCTGCTTACTATTTCTTCTATGTGATGGCTGCATGTGTTTTTCTCTTTTAGATTTTCTTTCTTCTATTTTCACCTGGTGATTCAGCCAGTAAGTCTGTTGTTTTTCAAAAGAACTTGCTCTCCAGCAGAATTTATTAGTTACGTTGATGAGACAAACTATTAACCACTTACAGGGGTGATTGCAATGATCAGCTTTTATATATTTATGTAAAACCTTTATCCCATAAGGAAATACGAAAATGTTTGCTGTAATTACTTATAATGTATTAGCTGGAGTTTGGCTTCAGTTTGTCTATTTAAATCTGCTAGTACAGATAACACTCCCTTCCTTCCCCTCAGACTGACAATGCTGTGGTCCAAAGGTGCCCCCTGTGCTCCTTCATCCATGGTGGAGGGGTAGGGGGGCACTCTAATACAGGGAGGTATGTTACTGGACAGATCATCAAGTGAAAACAGGGGGGAAAGAATCCCAAGAAAACAATTGCAGCCACCACATCTAATGATTGGTTAGCAGCAATATATTACATTTTTGGTTTGAGTTTAATACTGCTTTAAATATGGTTATAAGTGGGGGGACTCCGATTTGATAAGCAGAGATCTGTTCGCTGATCACTTGCTGATCATATCAGAGCGGGTGGATGACAGGTCCATGTTTTCTCCATTTCTGCAGAGCAGACATGGACAGAGCCCACTCTGCTCTTTGTGCGGCTGGGAGTAAATGGATTTCGCTGTCTGTGTTCAGCTGACTGTGTTCACCCTCCTATACGATCTGCCTAGACAGAGGGGGACAAATCCCTTTCCATTTTATTAGCGGATTGGATTCAGGCGGATACAAGACTGTTTACACCTCTCAGTTCGTATGGGTAAATGGTGGATCCGATCAGGTCCGTCTGAAAAACTGACAGGTGGACCTGATTGGACCCTTTGTGCGAAAGGTGCCTAACTGTAATGGTGTTATAGCTGGTTCAGAACCTGCATAGTCACTGTTGTGAATAAACCGTTAATTGCATATTACTTCTTTAAAATCTCCTTACTGTGTATATTTCATAGTAATAGGTGTGTGAAAGTGAAAACTGTTTGATAGTTTACAGTACATGAAGTACTTGTTGCATGGATCCTGGGGCCTGGTTAAAAAAATGTGCTCTCTAGATCTACATCTAGTCAAAATAAGAGACTCTACAGGGACTTACTGAAAAATCAACCTTTGTTTTGTTGTTGTTTCAAGGTTCGTTTCCAGGATGCTCTTGATTTAGTGCGGCCAAGAAAAGTGTTCCTCTTACAGGGATTTGCATATATTCCACATACAGAGATTCTAACCCTTATCCTTAATGACTTCAGAACAAGATTATCTAAAGCACTGGCTGTAAGTAAATTATTACTTTCTTTTTATTAAACATTTTAAAAGTAACAGACACAGTTAGTTTGTATTATGGTTTGATAGCCTAACAAATGAAGAAACAGATGTTCGCCTATTAACGTTAATGTAATAAACTAGCAATTTCAGGTTCCATTTAAGTTTCTGCATATATAAAGCTGCTGACTATTTGTGAAGGATATGCAATTATTATTATTGTTATTGTAGTTGTTGTTTTTAGAGGGATAAGTCATTTTGCACCAGATGCGCCCATCCTGTTTTGGCAATGAAAAATCATTTGTGTTAGGAAAGAAAAGTTCCAAAACAATAAGATCTCTAGTCTTCTCTTTTTGAATCTGGGAAGGCTATGTATACATGATATTTACTTTTCAGCCTTGATATAAATATCTTGTTCTGTGTTACAACAAGTAATCATTTCTGCTCACTGACTTTCTTACAGGAAAAACATAGTGTAGTCTAGTCTTGATTCTAAATGCATCACCGACATGATAGATGCCTTTGTTGAAATTTATTGTTACAAGTCACAAGCTTTTATGTAAGATACTGTGTGTGTGTGTTTGTGTGTGTGTATGACATGTCAACTCTGCTTTCTATAATCCCCTGCATGGTAGAATTTTTTTCTAGATACTCTTTATTGAACTTTTGTCTTTTATACAACACATTCACACAATTTGGATAACAATGCTTTTTTGTCTCCAGTTATCTTAATAGTTAGAAATACAAAACGGGATACAGTAAATACATATACATTATACAGTATATAAACAATAGTGCACTTCATACACAACGCACTTTATACCTCAAAAAGACTATCAGTTAAGACATCTTGCATAAAAAAAATCTAAAAATTCTCCACAAACATGCCCATATACCACTTACTATTAATTATTAAGGTCTCTGTGTGATCCACCTCACCACCTTTTTTATATCTGTGACAACATTATACATTTCAGTCATATTTTCCATAAAGATTATCCCATCAGCTGCTCGTGTGCTGAGTTTATTATCTGCTATTTACCATAACACCAACATTCCTTCCATTCCCTTTCCTTTCATCTTTCTTTCCCTCTTGAAACACTGGAGAAATAAAAAAAGAGAAGAAAAAAGGAAAAAAAAATTCTTTAAAAGTATTAACTGGATATTAGCCTCTATTTGTTAGTGTATCCAAATTTGCTAATACATCTATAAGTGGTGCCTTACTAATAGAGGTGTGCTACTTGCCAGATCACCAGGTGAAACAGGGAAAAGTGTAAAAAGAAAAAAACAATGCAGCCACTACATCTAATGATTGGTAAGCTGCTGTATATTACATTTTTGGTTTTGGTTTAATACTACTTTGCTTTTTTTTCTCCTACATTGGAATATTTTTTTTTTTTGGAAGGAAGAAAGGAAGGAAAATTGTTGCTTAGTGATAACTTGGAATATATCTAATGTGAAATTGTGATTGTAAGGTGGAGGGACAATTGGCTCCATCTCTTTGATTTCTGAGTAAGCACAGATACTAGTTTACATCCATCTATGGCCCTAATGTTTTTTAGGGGTTTGGGGTGTCATTAATTTGCTGCACAGCGTCCGGTTTCTAAAAATAACAAAATGTCTACATTTTCTCCATATTGTAGGACTGAAGAAAATTAAAAAGAGAAAAAAAAAACAAAAAAAAATACCTCTGTTAGAGATTGAGTTTAGATACAAATGAAATCTCCGACACTATGTGGATTAACTCAAAAAGATTAGTTTTAAAATCCATTGTGAGAGGTTTTGCAGACATTTTATACAGGAGAGAAAAATCCATACTGTGTAGGGAAAGACCAAGCGTTTAGCAGCATGTGCAGTTAATTCTCTTGCTAATCTCTAGGATATGGGGTTTGGTAATATTGAAAGAAAGGTACTCCTTTTAAAACTTCTTTAAATGCACAATATAATATTTTTGATCTTCCAAATAATCCGCCTTCCTGATTTTCATATAAGTATATCATCATGTAATGTGCTAATCTGAATAAAGTGCAGCGTTAATCCTATTGTATAGTGTCGTTATTAATAATTGGAACATCACTTTTGTACACCCTTGCTAGGTTTGTTGTTCAGGATGAAAAACTTTAAAGCATAAGTAGAAAATAGAAATCTAGGATTTATAAATGTTTATATTTGACACATATGAATGATAATTAAATGTAAAAAACCAACTGTGCTACTATTTCACTCTAAGGTGAACATTAAGAAAAACATTTTTACAATTTAAAATAAAAAAAAAAATACTTGTGAATTGCAGCCAAACACTGTTATGTACCAGCAAACACAAATGCTCCTGCGCTTGGGGATGGACTCGATGCAGGCTGCAACCACATTAAGAATGTCCTGGAACATGCACACCTTGCTGCCCCCAACAGACTGGGGAATCCAAATATACTGAATGAGGAAAGAACAAAGAGAGGGCGCACAGGCCTAGTGCATTACCATAAAAAATGTTTAATAAGAAATAAAATAGGTGGTGTACTCACAAACGACAATAAAGTCAAGGCACATCATAAAAGAACAGCTGGGTCAACACCGTGCTGAGTAACAGTCCGTAATGGGGAATGTAGACATTCAATAGGCTGACGCGTTTCGAGGACTTGCCTCTGAGGAAGATCAAAAACGCAACATACGTTTTTGCTGCGTTTCTGCTGCATTTTCAATGCATTTCAGGCTTAGTTCACACCAATGCAGTTTGTGTTTTGGCCAACTGTTGCTGGGCAGATTAAACATACTAAACAAGGGGATCTTATCCTCTCCAGGTAGTTCTCTCCAAATTTACTATTTGGATTCTTTTTCCAAATTCTTTTAACCAGACCACCAGGATGGAACTATTCACTAGCAATTACGCAGGGGGTCCAGAGACAACTCATGGCTCTGCAACTTGGATGGAGGCAGCTAACTGCTCTCTGAAGGTGAAGAGGCTGCCCTCCGGCAGAACACAATTGTGCTGTGAAAGGGATTCCGCCATCAACACTGACTGTGTTGATGGAAGAATCAAGCAATTTCAAGAATCAAGAATTTTTTTTTTTTACTATAAACTTCTAAATACCTTTTCTCATCAGCAATTAGAGCACTGTTGTGACTACTATCAGTGTCCATCAGAGCATTGATTATAGCTTGTAGGAGGAGTTTTCATTTTCCCCCAATTAGTGGTGCACCGAAATTAAAATTCTTGGACTGAAACCAAAAATTGTGGGAATATGGGACACGTTCACATCTATGCTTTTTTGAGCTGCTGCTTTTTTGGTTCAATAGACTTCAATGGAGAAATGCAGAAAACGCATGTAGTGTGCTTTTTACATGTTTTCATGCATTTGCCATGTGTTTTGATGCATTTAGTATGTTTAATCTGCCCAGCAACAGTTGGCCAAAACGCAAACTGCATTGGTGTGAACTAAGCCTGAAATGCATTGAAAATGCAGCAGAAACGCAGCAAAAACGTATGTTTCGTTTTTGATCTGCCCAGCAACAAGTTGGACAAAAAAAATAAAAAAATGCAAAACACATGAAAAAAGTGTCAAAAACACACATGCAATAAACGCAAAAAGCACTGCAAAACAAAAAAACACAAACTACATTGGTGGGAACCAGGCCTGAAATGTATTGAAAGCCCATCAAAAACAAACACGTGTTGTGTTTTGATGCGCTTTTTTTTTTGTCACATGACCTTTAAAACACAGCTTAAACATGGCAAAATCGCGTATTTTCGGTGGCCTTTATCGGCACCATTTTTCCTATCGGCAAAATGCCAATAACACTATTTTTGACTGATACATTTTGGCTGCCGATATATTGGTGCATCCCTATCCTTGATTGTCCTATGAGGTTGCGTAACCCTTGACCCTCTATGTGGTGGACAGTGCTGATAGGCCCTGTGCTGATCACATGCACTCTCCCAAGATGATCAGTGCCTAGCAGTGCCGCCCACCATTTCCCATCCATGCCACCCATCAGTGCTGCCCAGCAGTGCCACCAGTCAGTGCCGCCCATCTGTGCCCATCCGTGTCACCAATCAGTGCCCATCATTGCTGCATATCCGTGCAGCATCATCAATGCTGCCTCATCAGTGCCGCCTATCAGTGCTGCCTATACGTGCCATCTCACCAGTGCAGCCTCATCAACGCACATCTGTAAAGAAGAAAAATTTATCAGTTTTCAAAAATGTATAATTGAAACATAGAACAACTTTTTTTTTTCTTTTTTCAAATGTTTTGCTGCTCTTTTTTTTTTTTTTTTTGCTTATAGTGCAAAAAAAGAAAACAATACCACCAAAAGAAAGCTCTATTTGTGAGAAAAAAAATTATAAAAATTTTCATATGGGTACAATATAGTATGACTGTGCAATTGTCATTCAAAGTGCAACAGCACTGAAAGCTGAAAATTGGCATGGGCAGGAAGGAGGTTTAAGTGCTGAGTAGGCAAGTGGTTAATAGCATTAAGTCAAAAATATTGTTTTTTTTTTCTCAAAATTGTCGGTCTTTTTTTTTTTTTTTTTTATAGCCCAAAAAATTAAAACCGCATAGGAGATCAAATACCACCAAAAGAAAGCTCTATTTGTGGGGGAAAAAAGGTTGTAAATTTAATTTGGGTGCAGCGTTACATGACCGCGTAATTGTCAGGTAAAATAATACAGCGCAAAAAAATAGCCTGGTCAGGAAGGGGGGTAAATCCTCAGGAGGGCAAGTGGTTAACAGAAGTTAAAAATTAATTGGTTTTTGTGCTAAGCTGCACCATATTTTGCACTCGGCAATTTTAGTAAGTCATTCCCTGTATCTCCAGGGCTTCTCCGTTTTTGCTTTAGTCATTGATTTAGTTAGGATTTGCTATCACAAATAGAATAATGTTTGAAAAATAGTCTTGGAACAGAAGTATTGCAAAAACAGACATCAACTGCCAACAAGGAGAGGAGGAAAACGTTTGTGTGATATGGTTGTCAACCCAAGAATTGGAACCCAAGCTTAAGTTATACGCAA